CAATGCGTGTGTCTGAAGAGTTTGACAAGCTGGCCAGCAGTGGTAATGCTCGAAAACTCAACAAAAAATTCGGCGACTAAAAGAAGATTTGCTAACCGGATCAAACCCGTATAGAACCCCCAGAGGTGATTTAATAACCGATGCTCAGAACATACTAAAAATATGGAGGGAACACTTCTCAAGCCTACTGAATAGTAGTGAAAGCAAAACGCCAAGGGATGGCTAACCCGATCCTCCAATCGATCGAAAAGATCTTCCATCGCCCGTTTGAAGAACAGCAAAGCGGCGGGGACCGATGGATTACCGGCCGAGCTATTCAAAAAACGACGGCGAAAAACAGATAAGGAGCATGCATCAGTTTCCTTTTAAATTTTATTCGGACGAAAGCATGCCCAACGATTATTTCGGAATTTAATTGTGCTCTGCTCAATTTACAAAACGGGAGGTTCCACAATTTGCGGCAACTACCGTGGCATAAGCCTCCTATGCATCGCTTATAAGGTTCTACAGAGCGTATTGTGTGAAAGGGTAAAGCCCACCGTCAACAAACTGATTGGACCTTGTCACCATGTGTCAAATCTTGGAAAAGGTTACTGAAAAGATAATCGACACACACCACCTCTTCGTCGATTTCGAAGCTGCTTTTGACGGCACGTAAAGGAGCTGCTTATATGCCGCGATGTCTGAATTTGGAGTCCCCGCAAAACTAATACGGCTGTGTAAACTGAAGTTGAGCAACATCAAAAGTTGCGTCGTGATCGGGTTGATCGAGCCGTTCGATACCAAACGAAGTTTCGTACAAGTAGACTCCCTTTCGTTTGACTTCTTCAACCTCATTTTGGAGAAAATAATCGAGATGCAGAACTAAACCGAGAAGGTACAATCTTTTATAAGGGTATACAGCTGCTGGCGTATGCTGATGATATTGATATCATTGGCCTCAATACCGTTGCCGTTAGTCTTGCTTTCTCCAACCTGGGTAAGGGTGCAAAGCAGCTGGGTCTGGTAGTCAACGAGAGCAAGACGAAATATCTCCTGTCATCAAACAAACAGTCGTCGCACTCGCGACTTGGCACTCACGTCACTGTTGACAGTCATAGCTTCGAAGTTGTAGATAATTTCGTCTATCTTGGAACCAGCATTAACAGCAACAATATTGACAGCTTCGAAATCCAAAGCAGAATAATTCTTGCCAACAGGTGCTACTTCGGACTAAGTAGGCTGTTGAGAAGCAAAGTCCTCTCTCGACGAATAAAAACCAAACTCTGTAAGTCTCTTATTATTCCCGTCCTGCTATATGGTGCAGAGGCTTGGACGATGACAACAACTGATGAGTCGACAAAGCGAGTTTTCGAGAGGAAAGTTCTGCGAAAGATTTATGGTCCTTTGCGCGTTGGCCACGGCGAATATCGCATTCGATGGAACGGTGAGCTGTACGAGATATATGACGACTTTGACATAGTTCAGCGAATTAAAAGACAGCGGCTACGCTGGCTAGGTCGTGTTATCCGAATGGACGAAAACACTTCAGCTCTGAAAGTATGTGACACAATACCCGCCGGAAAAAGCAAAGGAAGACCTACAACCCGTTGGAAGGACCAGGTGGAGAAGGACCTGGCTTCTCTAAGAATCTCCAGTTGGCGCCACCTTGCGAAAACAGGAAAGGGCTGGCGCGCTATTTTCTACCCCGGTAATTCTATAGGTAATAATTGCATTAGATAAGTAATTAGGTTTCAGAATGTATTTTTTTACAAATTTCTGAAATTTAAATATGATTTTAGTAATCAGTACTGTCTTCCTTGTTTTTGCAAGGATTTTAGCAGCTTCACCTGTATGTATGCATATACATATGTGGGTATTTTTTGTTTGTGAAAGCGATGACTTGAGTAAAAATGTAGATATCTTGATGAAATTTGCCATATGCTTGGCACCAAAGAGAGGTCGATGTTGTAGATGGAAATAATCAGACCCTTAAAAACGCCATTAAATGAAAACATATAAACCTGTAAATTGCTGCAGGGGATCTTTTTTTTAAGTGAGCGTAATCCCGCCCTCAAATTGGTTTAATGCATATGCTTTCCAAACCGCCAAAACTTACCAAACAAACTCGGAAGAAGTATCTTTAGTTTCTATTCATACAATTTCGTGGGAAAATTGGTAAAATCGGATAATAATCACGCCCACTTCCCATATAACGGCTAAGTTGAAAACTACAAATGGTGGGGATGAGCGTTACAGGAGAAGATGTGAAAAGTGAACAATTCTTATCACACGTTGTGAAAGCGGACAAATTCCACCTGATTCTTTCGCTGCCAGTATACAAATGAAACAGCATTAAATACAACGTTATAAAACTTTGCACAAGTAGTACTCTTAAAGTATATGATCTTATGCCCAAAAATTGTTTAAATTAGATTATAAACTTCGCACAAAATAATTGAATCCCAGTACACTTGATTCATTTTAAAAATCTTTTATTAGCTTCGCAGTCATGTTTGTACGGTCATAACTTTTTACAGTGATACTGAAATTGAACGGCACTGACAAAAAAATTAACCGTTTGATAGATACTATAAAAAAAATTTAAAGCAAAAAAAAAAAAAAAAATGGCACTGTAACTATGTAGCTAAAAGTATTAACTTTCCGTGCTATAATTTTAATTACAAATTTGCTGCAATTAATCCTTTAAGAAAGTGAAAAGTCACCTGTGGCTAAATAATATATATGGTTTAGGAGGCTAAAAAAGGCATGCTTTTAAATCACATCGAACTAAAAAGTTAGATATAACAACCAATACAACCTGACCACAAAAATATAATAAAATAAAAGCACTGTTATTACGCTTAAAACAGCCTAACATGCTTGGTACCCAATTGTTCGCATGTTAACCATTTTTCAGCGCATTAAGAGTATTTTTCTTTTATTATTGTTGTCAGGTTATATTAGTAATCATGTTTTCATTTATTACTTTAGTGTACATATACGAAATGACATCGACTTAATAGGTACGCAAATAATTTCTCGCTGTTTTTTATTAGTGAAAATGTAATTTTTTTGTAGGGAAGGATTTGTTACAAATGAATTATTCGAAATAAGTATTGTCCTCGATAGTCTTAGCTTTTTCCATCATTTTTATTTTCGGGCGCATACGGGGCACATCGTACTGCAAAAATGATATCGAAAAGTTGGAGGGTCGCTTCAATTAGTCTATGACAGTTGACGGGCACTATGTTCAATAAAAATTGATTTTTTCAAACAAATGTGTTTTACTATGATAGGCCCAGGGATTTTAAATTAACCCTTTATAACGAAAGCGAATATAAATCACAGTTTGTGGTATTTAACAGTTGAGTTTATTTGGATTTTATGACTTTCCCTTTTGATGACGACCATGGCAAACGAACTAAGGATTACGATTTGAGGGAATGCACCTGGAATGTCCGATCCCTTATTTGGAAAGGTGACGCTGCCCAGCTGGTTGGTGGCTGACATCACAGCCGTCGAAGAAATGTGATGATCCAGACAAGGACTGAGGCGAGTAAGTCGCCGAGTACTGTCATTCACCCCGGTGGATGAACGTCTAGCCACAATCCCCATCAAAGCGAAGTTCTTAAACATATCGCTGATCTGGGCCCACGCACTTGAATCTTACTTATAAGAGCTGCCTCCGCCACGATGTCAAAATCGTGCTTGGCGACTTTAACGTCAGGGTGGACAAAGAAGGTATCTTTGGCACAGCAGTCGGTAAATTCAGCCTCCACAAGGAAAAATTCCCCAAATGGGTTGAGGTTATTTCTCTCTAGAAAGGGTATCTCTAAGTTTGGGTATAATTTGCAAGAATCAAAGCCAAGGAAATACCCAAAGGTGCAAAACTTCAACCAGAGAATCGGAATCTAAGCAACTATATACATATATATATTATATATAGATATATACACTGACCGACATATTCGACGGTTCGGTTTGTTAAAAAGACGAAAAAGATTATGTTATTTTTATGTAGTACTCGGTAGTTGGAGGTGGTATCGACTCGATTTAATTTATTTTTGCCAATATTACAGACTATTAACATCCAACATACTAACAAAATGTTCCCTGAGGTTCATTAAAGTACCTCACATCCCATCACCAATCTTATGGATTAAAGCCACTCTGATGTTATATGTTTATTTATGGGGGATATGTCAAGTTTTCACCCGATTTTATCCCTTTTGTGCACAACGATACACTTTTATGAGTAAAATACGTTCTTTCATTTTAATATACATACCTATATACTTAGGTTCATATAAGTGGTATAAAGCCAGCTGAAAGTTCGAAAAGCGTTTTATTAGAGGTATGGGAGCTAAGGGAAGTATTGAGCCGATTCAACAGATTTTTGACAAACATATCACTGTCGGGTAAGAATTATCCCTGAATTTCAAGTATACTATATCTCGCACATTGACCCATATTTGTTAAAAGGCAATACTGGTGCCAAGTATTCGGTATCTAGGGGATTGAACAGTTTTTGTTGGATTTGGACAGTTCATATTCATAACTCTAAAGGCATCAATCATGCAAAGTTTTATGCCGTTATATTATTTGTATGCCGATTTCGCCTATTTTCGAACTCTTATATGGGGATGTGAAGAGAAGTACCAAATTTGGTTTAAATCGGTCGAACGGGTCCCGAGATATGTGATTTTACCTTAAAGTTCGCGGAGCCCCGGCTTCTATTGAGCCTTCATACATCATCTCGAGTGTAAATTCTTATGTGTTTGGTATATTTAGTTCTTTATCTTATATTGGTGTTTGGTTATGGCACTTTATAACTTTTCTCTTAGTTGCGATTTGTTGGCAGGGCAGTGGTCCGATTACGCCCGTCTGTAATACCAACCGTATTATGATGCCAAGAAACATATGTACCACGTTTTATTAAGATATCTCAGTTTTTGCTCAAGTTACAGGTTGCATAAGAGTTATGTCTTGTTTACATCGCAATTTTAAAATTATATTACCCTCCTCCCATGTTGCGGGTAGTTGAATAATATGGTTCCCAGACATTGTAGGCAAACGGGTCCCGATAGGTTGGTATTTCGTTTGTAATTTCTGCGGCTCGAGATTGTCTCTTGGAAAAACTGCAAATATGAAACGATAATTGTGTTGTATATACTGTAATTTATGCATACATAGATATCTGTTTTACTGTCGTAAAAGTCGTTTAGTGTGGTCATACTTACATCCACATCGCACGTAACTGTTCGCAGGTTGGTTCTTGTGCACTCAATGGAAAAGTTTTTGGCACGACTATTTCACCACCGGTGTCTGTCGGACTCTCGAGGGCAGCAGCTGTAGATGAGGCCACATTATTTGCAGTCGTTCCGAAGTCAGCGTTATTATCATGCTCCTCAAACACTCCCGGTGAACTAGCAGCTACTTTCGTCGGCGTGCCATACTCTAGCGACCGTACTTTTGGTGACGATACTAATGGTCCATGACTGTATTTTATTGATTCAGCCTCAGCACCACACCATAGGTGGTTGAAATGAAAGATACTTGAGATGAGAAACAATAGCAATTGCCGCGACAGCTAGTAAATATAAAAAAGTACATTTAATAGGAATTTATATAAAATAGATACAGGAGATATTGATATTAAGACTGATATAGATATTAGTATGTATATTCACTTATTCATTGGAGATAAAATTGTCAAGGCACATAACTATACTTACAGATTTGTATGTACAAAGATTTGATAGATTGAAATTTGTCTTGCGAGATTCGTGGAGTACTACCCCAATTAGTGCAGATAACTCCGCAGCTTGCAGTGACCTGTATCTAAATCTACAAGTTGTGTTAATTTTCTGGTGGGTAGGCCGATTAGTTTCTTGACAAATTTTGTTTCGAACATTTCAAGAAGTGGATTTTCTGCTATGCTCTACCTATCGAGTTTGGTTGCAACCCGTCACTACCCACGAAAACTTTATTAAAAGGCGGTCCCCAAGATCCTTGCACTGGATGTCAAAGCTGATAGCGCTCAGGTTTGAGATGCGGTGGGTGTGTCAAAATTAGATAGTCAAACGACCGTGAAAAATGATCGGGTGCTCACGCATAAAGAAAATTCAACGGAAGGTTCTTCAAACACTGGCGGTCTTTTCTCTGCCCGGAGAACGCATTGTCCAAAGAACTGACTATCCATTTTGATAACATAGCCTTGAGTCCACTAGTCGTGCGTTCAGGACTGATTAAGGAGTACCTAACCTTGTTATTAATAGCATCGAGTCACTGTGTGATAAGATTAGTATGTATTCCACGCCACAGTGGAATCGCAGGCAACTGTAAAACTGATGAGCTAGCAAGAAAGGGTATCTTAGTTCTAATATCAGTAAAATGTGAACCGGCACCTCTGCTCGTGTGCACTGCTACAAGTGGAACGCGCGGAACTACGTCTGAACTTATATCAAGTGGTTCGCTATATAAATGAGTAAGGATCGAAAACAGTAAACCCTTCAGAAGGCAAGGGGAATCCACTGAGTATATTTCCCAGCATATCATATTGATAGTACACCCAAGACAGTGGCCCTCAGTGTCCGGCAAATCGAGGGTGCTAAGAATCCCTGGAGGTTAAAAAAACGTTAAAAATCGGAACACGGAATACAAGAGGTTTATACGAGCCTGGACAACTAGCCAATACGATTTTAGAAATTGGAAAAATTAGACATCGATATACTTGGCATAAGTGATTGTGGACAATTTATTTCCTTAAATACAAAATTCTTTTTTCTGGCAACCAAACTAAAAATCATCGCATTTGTGCCAAAATCTGATAGATCAATGATTTTAAAGTTATTTGCAAAACCACTGAATATGAATATTATTCAAGTCTATACTCCAACGGCCGAGAAAAGTGATGACGAAATAGAAACTTTCAAAGATGGACTAGACAAACTTATGCGATTATCAGAACCATATGAAATAAGTATAATTCATGTGATTTTTATGCAAAAGAGTGAAGGAGAGAAAAAGTCGAAGGAGTTGTAGGCCAATATGGCTTAGGTGAAAGAAATGAACCGTCAAGAACACAAACTAATAGTTTCGAACACATTATTTAGCCACCCTCCCAAGCGACGTTATACATGGAAATATCCATCGGACGCCTCTGGTAATAACATCAGAAATAAAGTAGCTTACCTTCTGATAAATAATCGCTTCTCTTCCCCAATAAAAATGGCAAATACATATCCAGGAGCGAATGTAGCTTCGGATCATAACTCGCTACTGACAAATTGCGTATTAGGCTAGCCGTAATTACATATGTAGGTCTAAAATTAAGCTAAATATTTATAAGTTGACAGACGAAGGAGTGAAATTAATGAAGAAATAATATATATTATGTATATGGAGCGACTTAAAAGAGATAATTTGTACTACAGCAAAAAAAAACTCCCTTGAAATCGAAAAGAAAGAAACTAATAAAAATATCTGGATGACATATTAAAACTAAGAAGTAAAAGCCGAGAATATAAAAATAAAAACACTGAGATGTATCGACAGCTGAATAGAAAAATAAAAAAGATGGAATTGGATGAACAATGAATACCAAAAAATTGAAAGATTACAATTTTGAAATGATGCCTTCCATTTACACAGAGAATTGAAAGTATCCGCAGGTATTCATCGTAAAAATCCGCCTTCAATGCTTATATATGAAAACAATGAGGTGGTATTTGACATATATGAAAAAAAATATATATATGGAAGATATGTATTGAAAACGTTTTTTCGAATAATAGCATCAAGCAGCTCACGACTTCCGGTCTTTGACCAAGTGTCCTTTGGGTAACCTAAGGATATCCATTGAAGGCGAGCTAAAGTGAGAAGTCGAAACATCCCCTCCGCAGGGTATTGCGATGGGTTTGGGACCAGCCATGTAAAAAAGCATACCAATTAAAAAAACAACGAGCCTCGGATGAGAGACCCCCTTTTGATGACGACCATGGCAAACGAAATAAGGACTACGAAAAGAGGACATGCACCTGGAATGTCCGGTCCCTTAATTGGGAAGGTGCCGCTGCCCAGCTGCTTGATGTCCTCGTGAAAATAAGGGCTCCCATCCACGAAATGCGATGGACGAGAGAAGGACAGAGACGAGTAGATTATTGTGGCATTTACTACAGTGGCCATATAAAGGAATGCAAGTTTGGTGTGGCATTCGTGGTGGTAGACAGACTCCGTCGCCGAGTACGCCTTGACGGAAGAGAAGAGCGATGTGACCAAAGATGGCTTTTATGAGCGCTTAGAGCGCAGTTATGAAAGCGGCCCCGCCACCGCCGGGTTCAGGCTTATCGACTTCGCCAGGGCCCGAAATATGGTTATCTGTAGTACTAGATTCCAGTATAAGAAAACTCATTAAGCTACCTGGCTATCGCCGGATCGGAAAACCACCAACCAGATCGATCCTGTTGTTATAGACGGAAGACACGTCTCCAGTATTTTAGAAGTGACTGCGCTCCGTTTTAACATCGACTCGGAACACTTTCTTGTTTCAGCCAAATTCGCACCCCCCTCTGTGCAGCAAACGACGCACATAAACAAAGACAAGGAAGGTTCGACGGCGAGAAACTGCATTCACAACAGACAGCCGAAGGATTTTCTACTCGGCTTGCACTCTTAATCTCTGAGAGCACTCGTCAACAACTCGGTATAAGGGAACTGTGGGAAGGCATTTCAAACTCCTTACGTATAGCTGCAACCGAAACCATTGGTTCCGGAAAGGGCAAAAGAACAGCTGGTACGACGAAGAGTGCCGTGTCGCAGAGGAAAGAAAACAGGCTGCCTACCTCGCAAAGTTACGATCGACCACAACCCGTGCGGGACAGGATAGATACCGAGAGCTGAAGAGGGACGCATTTGCAGCCAGAAAAAGAAAGAGTCCGAAATGCGTTAGTATGAAGAGGTTGATAAGCTGGCCGACACGGATAATGCTCGAAAATTCTACGAAAAAATGCGGCGGCAAACAGAAGGTTTCAACCCAGAAACATACTCTTGTAGAACCCCCAAAGGCCATTTAGTCACCGATGCCCAAAGTATACTTAAATTATGGAGGGAACACTTCTCCAGCCTGCTGAATGGCAGTGAACACACAACGCCAGGATAAGGCAACCCCGAATCCCCAATCATTGACTATGGAGCAGACTGCCATACAGGAGCCCTCGTTTATGCCGCGATGTCTGAATTTGAAATTCCCAGAAAACTAATACGGCTGTGGAAATTGACGTTGAGCAACACCAAAAGCTCCGTCAGAATCGGGAAGGACCTCTCCGAGCCGTTCGATACCAAACGAGGTTTCAGACAAGGCGACTCCTTATCGTGCGACTTTTTCAACCTGCTTCTGGAGAAAATAATTAGAGCTACAGAACTAAATAGAGAAGGTACATCTTCTATAAGAGTGTACAGCTGCTGGCATATTGATATCATCGGTTTCAACACCCGCGCCGTTAGTTCTGCTTTCTGCAGACTGGACAAGGAAGCGAAACAAATGGGTTTGGCCGTGAGCGAGTGAAAGATGAAATATCTCCTGTCATCAAACACACAGTCGTCCCACTCGCGACTAGGCTTTCACGTCACTGTTGATATTCATAAATTTGAAGTCGTAGATATTTATATCTACATTCGCATTCGATGGAACGATGAGCTGTATGAGATATATGACGACATTGACATAGTTCGGCGACTAAGGCTACGCTGGCTAGGTCATGTTGTCCGAATGGACGCAAATACTCCAGCTCTGAAATTATTCGACGCTGTACCCGCCGGGGGAAGCAGAGGAAGAGAAAGATCTCCATTCCGTTGGACGGACTAGGTGGAGAAGGACCTGGCTATGCTTGGAATATCCAATTGGCGCCATGTAGCGAAAATAAGAAACGACCGGCGCGCTGTAGTTAACTCGACTATAATCGCGTAAGCGGTGTCTACGCCAATTAAGAAGAAGAAGAGTGGATTGAACCAGAACCTTCATCTCCACCACAGGTCAACTGGCAATTATAAATATTACGAAAGTCGATATGGAGAGAGCTATACAATGAATGAAAAATTACAAAGCAACAGGTCCGGATGAGGTTCTAGCTGAAATTTTAAAGTTAATAATTGATAAATATATGACTATTTTAGTACAGCTATTTTATTCACGTTTTGACAATGGCTAATATCTAAAAGACTGCTTGAAATCAACATTCATACCACTACCTAAGAAAAATAAAGCGAAACATTGCTGTGAATACAGACTAATTAGTCTAATGTCACATGCTCTCAAAATATTTCTAAAAGTTATTCACGCCAGAATACATAGGAAATGTGAATAGGAAAGACGCAATTTGGCTTGTTCTGTATACAAGTTTTGGTTCAAAACTGTAAAGATGTCCAAAAAGATGTACTTTTATGCTTTATTGATCACAAGAAACTTTTCGACACCATTAAACACGATAAACTTATGGAAATTTCATTATGGGAATAGATGACAAGGAGATTCGTTGCATAAGAAATATATAGTGGCAACAAACTGCCCATATAAGCATCAATGGTGATATA